GGGGGGGCCTGTAGAAACGGGCAGGTGGAGCACCACTTCATCCGAACCTGGATCCCTCTGATGTCCACCGTCTTGTAGAGGGGAGCACGAAAGTCATCCTCCTTGTCCTCGTCCTCCGCCGCTGGATAAGTAACACACACACACACACAGGTTATAAAACTGAGTGGTCCAATGAGAGCAGACAGAAAAGAGCAACCTACAGGACAACTACTCCTGCCCGCTACAACACGAAGCCATATCAGAAAATCCTCCAAACCAGTTTGTGATGGACCCTGGACCTGAACAGTCCAGTCACTGACCTCTGGGGAAGATGCCTGGGTCATGAAGGTGGCCATGCAGAAGTTAGCCAACACAAACAGGAAGATGACTCCATTGTAAATGGGCACTGCTACTGAGAAACGCTCCCGAGAGCCACGGGCACCTGCAACAAGAACAGCACCGAGGTCAGCAGTGAGCTGGATACAAAAGTGCAGGATTAGGAGGTATCTAGATCCGAATCAAGTCCCTGCAGCATTAGTAGACACATATATATATATTATATATATATATATATTTATATATATATATACACATATATACATATAAATATATATGTGTATATATATAATTATAATATATATATATATAATTATAATATATACATAATTATATACACACATATACATATTACATATACATATATACATATGCATACATATACATACACTCAACAAAAATTTTAACGCAACACCTTTGTTTCTGCTCCGATTTTCATGAGATGGACTTAAAGATCTAAAATTAATTCCCAGATACACAATATCACCATTTCTCTCAAACATTGGTCCACAAATCCGTCTCAAATGTGTGATAGTGAGCACTTCTGCTTTGTGGAGATAATCCATCCCACCTCACAGGTGCGCCACATCAAGATGCTGATGTGACGTCATGAGTATGTGCACAGGTGTAACCTTATACAGCCCACAATAAAAGGCCACCCTGGAATTTGCATTTTTTTGTAGGGCTGGGCAATTAATCAAAACGTATCGTTATCGAAATTCTGACCCTTATCGAGATCATTTTTCCCATGTCAATAAATTTGATAATAAAAAAATGAATAGCTGTGTGGTAGGTTGGCAACGTTGGGTGTCCCTTTAAGAAGCTTTACACCTTGACATATCACATGTGACAGCCCCATCTAGTGGACAACTTTTGTTTCCGTGCATACCTGTAGTTATCGTCCATTTATCGTTATCGAGGTGAATCTTCAATATATCGTGATATTGATTTAAGGCCGTATTGCCCAGCCCTAGTTTTTTTTTTTTTGCTTTATTGTGGGTCTGGGGACTCAGAACCGGTCAGTATCTCGTGTGACCACCATTTGCCTAATGCAGTGCAACAAATCTTCTTCGCATACAGTTTTATCAGATTGTCAATTGTGGCCTGTGGAATGTTGGTCCACTCCTCTTCAATGCTGTGCGAAGTTGTTGGATATTAGTGGGAACTGGTACACACTGTCCGTATACGTCGGTCAAGCACATCCCAAACATGCTCAACGGGTGACGTGTCGGTGAATATGCTGGCCATGCAAGAACTGGGGACATTTCAGCTTCCAAGAATTGTGTACAGATCCTTGCAACATGGGGCCGGGCATTATCTTGCTGAAACACGAGGTGATGTCATGGATGTACGGCACAACAATGGGCCTCAGGATCTCATCACGGTATCTCTGGCATTCAAAATGCTATCAAAAAATGCACCTGTGTTCTGTGTTCATAACAGATGCCTGCCCATACCATAACCCCACCACCACCATGGGCCACTCGATCCACAACATTGACATCAGCAAAGCGCTCACCCACATGACGCCACACACACTGTTTGCCATCTGCCCTGAACATTGTAAACTGAGATTCATCTGTGAAGGAGAACACCTCTCCAACGTGCCAGACGCCATTGAATGTGAGCATTTTGCCCACTCAAGTCTGTTACGGTGACGAGCTGGAGTCAGGTCAAGACCCCGATGAGGACGACGAGCATGCAGTTGAGCTTCCCTGAGACGGTTTCTGACAGTTTGTGCAGAAATTGTTTGGTAATGCAAACCAATTGTTTCAGCAGCTGTCTGAGTGGCTGGTCTCAGACGATCCTGGAGGTGAAACTGCTGGATGTGGAGGTGCTGGGCTGGTGTGGTTACACGTCGTCTGTGGTTGTGAGGCCGGTTGGATGTACTGCCATATTCTCCGAAACGCCTTTGGAGACAACTTATGGTGGAGAAATGAACATTCAATAGCAATGAGCAACAGATCTGGTTGACATTCCCGCTGTCAGCATGCCAATTGCACGCTCCCTCAATGCTTGTGGCATCTTGCTGTGTGTGTGTTGTTACTATTGTTGTTGTTAGCCTCAAGGGCAAAATGCAGATTATCACTTGTAAGTCGCTTTGGACAAAGTGTCCTGCTAAATACATAAACATAAACATAACATAACAAACTGCACATTCCAGGGTGGCCTTTTATTGTGGGCAGTATAAGGTCCACCTGTACACTACTCATGATGTCGGAACCAGCATCTTGATGTGGCACACCTGTGAGGTGGGATGGATTATCTCAGCAAAGCAGAAGTACTAGCTATCACACATTTTAGACGGATTTGTTGAACAAGGTTTGAGAGAGATGGTAATATTGTGTATCTGGAATGAATTTTTGATCTTCAAGTCCATCTCATGAAAAAAATGGAACAGAAACAAAGGTGTTGCGTTTATAATTTTTGTTGAGTGTATATACATTTATATACATATAAAGTGATCAGTTGTTATCATCAGCCAGTTTTACTACCGATATTTACATAATACCGATATTGATGCCGATACATTGTGCGTCCCTGCCACTATAGCTAGAAATATGCCAGGATGATGCCGGGGGTGACAGATGTTGGCCTAATTCCTCCTCGCTAATCTGAGGCACAAAGCCGACTGCCTCCCCCACACGGTCCCACACAAACAGATTAGAGATCCTCACACATGCAGGCAAAACAAACACGCCAGGGGGCGGGGTCTGATGGACACTCGCACCTGTCGTCAAATGATGTCACAATTCCACAGCACTCATGTTTGTCAACAAACTGCTGCCTCTTTTATACACACACACACACATCTGCCTGTGTGTTACACCACAACACAGCTGATCAGCTGACATGATGCGTCCTCTCACACGTCTTTCCTGTTCCTGCAGCACTTTGATGATGCGTAAAGCCATCATTGAGTTCATGCTCCACCCCCACCCTTGTCTAAATATAAGATGGAAAATAAGAAGCTAGTTGTTACCATAGCAACGTACCGCACTGCAACCGTTATCAGAAGGTGAACCCTAACCCACATCTAGTCAGACCTTGGATGTAATGATGTTAATCTGTTCATAACTAAAGCCCTCAGCTGTTCACCAGGAGGACGTCACACCTTCCTGTTTTCACGAGAGGAAACCAGCTGTTGCCACTTACGTGAAGCAGAAGAAGAGCGTGGTGGAGCCAACCAGGAAGAAGGTCGCTGCCGACACTGGAACATAGCGGGAGGGTCTCAGGGGTCTGCTGGGTAGGACCACCGCGTGGGGGAGAGGTGAAGAGGATGGACCCCGCCCTCCACTTTTACTGCTGCTACCTGGCATCACTTCCTGTGAGCTGTGGTTTGCGCCTTTGCTCACCTCGTCATTCAGAGGTCAGCGGTCCACGGCTTCATCCTCAGACAGACAGAAACGTCCTCGGCACGCTCAAAAACGGAGTGGGAATGCTCGTTTTTCTACAGCAAAGCTGATCTAGTGCATTTGAGGGAGGAGTCTGAAAACTTTGTTTCCAGAAGAGACGACTGGTGTGAAACCACCAGTTATCCAGAGGAGGTGAGCAGAGAGGAACAGCTGTTTAGGCTTTCACCTGAACCGTGCATCATGGTTTCACTGGTTTCTTCTCTCAAGAGAGCCTGGTCTGTTCCAATGGCAGGAGATCACATGGAGCCTACATCCCAACAGTGCAAATACATTATTTGTATAAATTCTTCTAGAACGAAAGTCCTGCTGCACCAGGACAGGGACCGGGAAAGGAGCAGGCGGACCCGTTCTTGTAGAAAACTCAAAAACAGCTGAAATAAAGAGAAGAATGGGCTCAGCTTTCTCTCCTCCAGAGCTGGAATGGGTCACGTGAAGGTGTGCCAGCCGTCGGGGCAGTGTCCCTCAGCTAACCCCAAAGAGGCTTTAGACCAGGACGTGTTTCAGGAGCAGCAGCCTGTAGGAGGACCACAGCAGCAGTCTGGGTTTCCTGTGTCGGAGCATCCCTGAGCCCAGCCGGGGCGCAATCTAAACCACCTCATCTGCCAGCTCCATCACCGGCATGACCCGAGCAAAGGTGTGCTTTTCTCAGTCCGTGAACACTGAAGTCAGCCACGCCCACACAGCTGCTTCTGAACATGACTCCTGGCTACGGCAGGCTCTCCTCACCAGGAACGTCCCTCGGCTCACCTCCTCACACGGAACGCCTAGACTTGGACAACACCCTCCAACTCCTGTCCCTCGGAGGACATGGCTGCTTCACAGCAACAACAGAAAACCTGAAAACCTTTCTAAAGCAGGAAGGACGATGGGGGTGCAGCTGTGTCTGGAGCCGTTTTTGTTTGGGACATCCCAGGCCCGTCCTCGCGTCCCACAGATGGAAACTGAGGCGATTCCTCTCAGGTGTGCTGCACCTCACAGGTAACCCGGAGCGATGGCTGGTCAGGACTCCACCTGCAGCGGTAGACGTAAACAGAAGGTAACGCTCATGATGAAGCGATTAGTTCTAGGCCAGTTATTCGTTAGAATTGTCTTGGAAGTCTGGATCAAACACACCAGTGGAGTGGCTGTGGCAGTCGCCAGCTAATCGGAAGGGCGGTGGTTTGATCCCAGCTTCCCCAACACATGTTGAAGTGCTCTTGAGCACAACACTCTGACCCATAGAACTGTGGTTTCCCGGATATGAACAGATTTCCTTCATCTACTTCTTATTCTCAGAGGCATTACTCCTCAGATACAGAAATGTTTTTAATGAAACAATAATTACAACAGTAAAGGAGAGAGCGCGTGCGTGCGTGCGTGTGCGTGCGTGCGTGTGTTCCTCCTGGATACCTAAATTACCATGTAGTGCTCCTCAGATAAAAGAACCACTCCAGAGCAGGTCCTGATAGGCCTACCCAGTCTCTCAGCCTCTCCAGTAGCAGGTGATGGTCAACAGTGTCAAAGGCTGCAGTCAGGTCCAGCAGGACCAGAACAGAACAGTCCCCTGCATCACTGTGGGTCAGAAGGTCATTAGAGACCCTAAGAAGAGCTGTTTCAGTAGAATGAGCTCTACGAAAACCTGACTGGAAGCTACCATAGATGTTAGGTTCATCAAGAGCAGCTGTGAGTTGTTTAGCCACAACCTTTTCCAAGATCTTGGAGATGAACGGAAGTTTGTCTACCCATAAACTGCTCCTTGAGCTCCTCATACGTCCTCTGACTTCCTGGTTCTGCAGCACCACCAGAACGAGACTTTAGTTCTGGAGCACCGTGCTGCTTCTCTTCATGTGTGAAGAAGCCCACAGCACCCTGGGTGTGTGCTGCAGAGTGCGCAAACCGCGGCTTCACCCACAGACTCCTCCAACCATCACGTTCCGATGGCTGCTGCGGGCCAGCGGTGCGAGCTGCGTGCGTGCCGCAGGTGACAGACCCGCGGATCAGTGCGCACCTTGCGCTAAATGCTGGCGCTACAGCCTGCCATCTCTGCGTCCGAACCAACAATAAAGATGGAAATCGGAGCTACTTGGGGTTCAGCCCGCGGGGGCGGAACGCACCTACACTAACAATAACCGGTCATCTGCGCGGGATAAAACCCACCTTGACACATTAAAGCGGAAAGAGGCGCAGCGGATGACAGGAGTCCAAATGAAACAGGCTACAGGCATTAACACAGACAAGCCCTTACCGCTGTTAGCTTGAAGCTAGGTGTTAGCCGCGGCTAGCGGCCGGCTAGCACCCAGCTCACCTGGAAGCCAGGGGGGGGGGGGCGGTGTTCCAGCGGCTGTGGGTCCGAACCGATGAATGTGATGTCGGTCCTGGTCGCACAGTGTCCTCTTGGGATTTAAATCAATCGACCAATCCGTCAGTGGCGATGGGAAGCACGGCTCGTCCTGACGGAGAGCTACCGCGGTGCTAAGCTAATTCAGATGCTCCAAGCCACCGATAAGACTCCCGTTATTCTCCTGGAGTCAGCCAGTCTGAACGGCTCAAACCACACCGACTCTGACTGCTCTTACAGCCGCGGGTCCCTTTATCCACCGCAGAGGTGAATACCCTGGCCACCCTGTTAATGAATGCCCTAAATACCCCGATACCCCCTCTCACACCTCCTCACTGTTGGTGGCCAGTTTACTCCCAGAGGCCGACATATCAGGACCACAAAACTCAAACACCACGGTCCACCAGCGGAGCTGCAGCAGTGAAAGCGGCTTCGATAGGGCGAAGCTAGCGTCAATCCAGCCAGACACGTAATCTATTGCGTCTTTCAACAAGTCCCGCCCTCTACCCAGGTAACGCCATGATGGCTCTACGTCATGATTACGTATGTGCAATTGAACAGGCTCATTAACGGCAAATCCTTATTCTTTGACAATTGGTTTAGGAATGGCATTATAAAGATCAATCAGCTCTTTAATAAGGAAGGAAATTTATTTACTTATCAAGAATTTCTTTCTCATTATAAAACTCCTGTAACCCCTAAAGAATTTGCTATTGTTTTCGACGCTATTCCATCTGGTGTTATCATGCTTTTCAAAAGTTGTACCACCCCACCATCTAACATGACCCCTTTGCCTGATCCAAGTGACACATTTATAGGGAAACTTTGTTTTCTATCGAGATTACGGCCAAATAAGCAGATTCGCTCCCTTTTTCTAGCTGATTGTGTTTCTTTACCACATGTTCTCCCTAAATGGAATTCACTTGTTCAATATGTGTCGTGGGAAAAAGTATGGACTCTTCCTAACAGATACTTGCTTACAAACAAAGTCAAAGAAGTCACATTCAAACTCCTTCATCGCTATTATCCTGTTAAAACATTCCTGAGGAGATTCCTTAAAGACTTTGATGTATCCTGTACTTTCTGCAAGGAGCACCCAGAAACTATCGACCACTTGTTCTGGACTTGTGAACACACTCGGAAACTATGGCAAGGCGTCTGTAGATTTATATTGGACCATATCCATGAGACCTTTGTATTACATTTTCATAATGTTCTGTTTGGATTTCTAGACTATCAGAGGGATTTGGAAAATGAACTGTTCATATCTAATCTTATCATATTGCTGACCAAGTTTTACATCCATAAATGTAAAGTGTTAAAGATAAGACCTTCCTTTTGTGTCTTGAAAAAAGAGCTTAAACTTTATTTGAAAACAATCTCCACCTCGAACAATAACAAAGCCATTAAGACACTAAGTCTCTGCTCGAAATTTTAAATCTTTCCATAATTCGTACTCTGTTGCATGTCTCGTATTGTTTCCTGTTTCGATCATCATTCTCATGTTTCATAATTTGTATGCAGTAACCCCTGGCGTTGAATCTGTTGGTATGTTTTTGTTATGTTTATACTGTTTCCATGTACTTCATAGTGGATATTGAGTCATTTATGTATATCGACTGTATTGTTAACGAACCAATATCCTAAATAAAGAATAAAAAAAAAAAGGCTCATTAACGGCGCTGACAGCGGAAACGTAACATCTCACACACACAATGGCTCTTGTTTGTGTGTGTGTGTGTGTGTGTGTGTGTGTGTGCGCCAAGCCCCCACAATGTGGCTCAAAATTTGAAAGAATTGAGGCCAACCCGGAAGTACCAAAAATTGCAGTTCCACCCTCATCCGCTGGGGGCTGGTGTCAGAAGCGAGCAAATCCTCATTGACTCCCATGTTAAAAACACCAATTTCACAGCAGAAATAAACATGTTTACAGCCTGGTACCAAAACATGTTTTTGGTTTAAATGATCTAGTTTACACTCATGACAACTGAAACCTAGCTCTAGTGTATTCCTGATTCTAGTTGACAACCATGATATTAATCTTGTCCTGCTGGCTCCTCGGGCTAACCGGCTGCCTGTGGTGATTCCTGGAACCTTCTAAGTCCACAGTCCAGCTTCACACCTGGATTCCTCTGTCAGAACCATCCACTCTAGACCCACCATCCTAATCTTCATTACTGGCCTTCCCCATCTCCTGAAAGCCTCCTGAGCTCCTGTTTACCTCCATCATCATCCTCAGCTGCTGTGCGTCTCCTGTCCACCCTCCAGCATGGTGCCGTAAGCTACATCTCATTCTTCTACCCAGATCCCGTTCAAAAGTTCCCTACGGTTCACCATCTATTCTACAGTTGCCCATCTCTGGACCTCACCTACTGTACCACCACTCCAGCTCCACCTCCCTCCCTGAAGTCCAGCTACTCCTCACCTTCTGTAAGCATCTACTCCTACCTGCTATTAGATGATCTCCTGCCCAACTCATCTTCTCTCTTGTTTTATAGTTTCCGGGTTCCTGTACCCGACATCCGTCTTCGCTGATTAGCTCCAGTTCCCTGCCTTCCATAACACCCAATTCTTAATAAATGTTCATATACTTATTCTGGTTTCCTGTGTGTATTCTCTGCATGTGGGTCAAACATTTACCACGGATCATGACAAATTCAGCCAGAAATTTTAAAAACCCAGACACCCCATCTTCTCTGAGTCACTTAAACAGGCTCTTAAAAACATATATAAAATCATCATTTATAATCATTTGTCCTGTTTCATTAGTAGTAGAAATATAGTAATAAATTGATGTTTATAAACTATATTTTTGCTTCAGTGTTGGTTCCCTGGCAAACCCTAGGTATTTATTTACAACATCAAGCAAATATTAAAGGTTCAATATTATTGCTAATCCATCATTTTATAGAGTATTATATTTGAATGACAATTTATTAAAAGTAACCACTAACAAAATGTTATCTGGTATTCTAGCCAGACTGTTGCTGTGTGGCTGTGCTCTGGTTGTGTTGGTTGACATGAAGGAATATTTAGGAGTAAAACATTTAGTAAACATGCTACTTGAGTACTGAATAAAATCAGATCTAATCATTTTCAAATGAAGTCATGTTTCAGACAAACATAAAGTTGCGGACTACTTTTGATCATTTAAAGGGACATTATGGAAGTTTGAGAGCCAAAACATGTATAGAAATAATAAATATCTTCTTCATACATTCTCCTGCAATGCCCTGGTCCTGTAGAATGAGCCCTGGCATTTTTACTGTGATTGCCTGTTTTTCTGTAAAATCACAGAAAAAGAGAGATGCTCGGGTCGAGCAGGCTGCTTCATGCGCGTTCACGCTCAGGCATCGCCCGTAGCATTTGCTATCCGTAGCTTTAGCAGCAGAGAGAGAGGCAGTGCCACTTTGTCGCTGTTCCTAACGCCTAGTGACAAAGCTAGCTACATTTCTGAGGACCCTTAGCTACTTTCTGTACAACTTTCTTCTAGATATTTCCTGCTAATTAGCAACAAAATAGCCATTTTCACTCCCAACCGTTCTTTGAACGTTGTTTCAGCTGTCATCAAGGACATAAATGTTACAGATACCGTGAATGTTACTAGAGTGTAGCTTATCTTGTAAGACGTCTGAGTCCCATGTAGAAGACCTGGGTTTGATTCTGGATGTGAACATAGTTTATTTAGAGTTTCTTTTTTACATTAATGATAATTTTTTTTACAATAAGATGTCCAAATTTTTATTTGAGACTCGCCGAACGGCATTGAATTCACAGATAAAAAAGATGTGGGTTCAACTTTCATTTTGGAACAATTTTTCAAGCAAGGGAAGGGAATGATCTGAGCATGCAGGAGGACTGACCCATCATAAACCTTTGTCGGCTGTGCTGAAGAGAAAGGTACAGAACCACATTATTTAATTAATTAGCTGTGTGTTCTCCTGTCCTCTGTCCTCCGGGCCACACACACACACACACACACACACACACACACACACACACACACACACACACACACACACACACACACACACACACACACACACACACACACGGGACTGTCTCAGCTGTTATTTTCGTTAAGGAGTGTGCACGTACAGCATGCGCGCCTCGTGCAAGAGCCTACTATTGAAGCTGCCGTTACACTTTTGGCCTGAGGGGGCAATCACGAGCATAAAAATTCAAAAGTCCATAAAGTCCCTTTAAAGACTAAAAAGAAAGAAGTTATCCAAACAATAACGTAATACATTGTAAGCAGAAGAAATAATTACTACCCGGCTCTGTATTCAACTGCCCTCCATGTTTGGCAGAGGTTTGGGACATGGCAACTTTGTGTGGCTTAGAAATGGACATTCAGTAAGATCGCTTACTTGCTTTAATGAAATCTGTGAGCAAACACGGTTTGGAAAGTTACGCCCTTCTGTCTGACAGCTGCGATCCAGGACATTCGACATCAACCAAAGCGACCAATGCTTCCGTTGTTTATACACTCAGCTATCCCGTCACGCAACGCGCTACCGCACCCGATACAACTTCTGACAAGGACCGACTCTACGGCACACTTACTCCTTGTTCAAACACACCTGGTCCTGCACACTACACTATTTCATACATACGACACTTTGTTCAAAAATGAGATCTCAGGGTGCCAAATGGAAAACACATCGGGTCATTTTTACCACTCAAGTACACACCTGAAGCCACTTACTTGCTAAACTGAACACCAACCAGCCAGCTACAAAAAGCCCTTAGTTTAGCCATTTCAAGAACATCGCAGGCATGGATGGATGGAGAACATGAGGAAGAGTAAACACGTACCATGTCAGTAGCACGTGGATCCATTAGCAGAGCTACACAGGTACCTGAGTGATGGGGTGGGGGCTCAGTATGTGTATCACTGAAGTAAATGTGTTTGTTTGTTGTTGTTGTTTTTTGATTGAGAATTTTGGCCCTGGATGGAGCTGCACAGCCTCATGAATTCATTTCATTGATGATTCTGGATTTGACCTGAGCAGAACAAGATGACAGGGTTGTAATGTAACGGGCCAAAGGGCAATTGTGCACGTCCCAGGGCAGCGCAGGGGAAATATCACATTGTGTGCCGTCACAAGCCTTCGAAGGCTTCTGCATCATCATGCAAAACTAGGTCCATACTATAGCCAACATGGTCACATTTCTAGATGCTTTCCATAATCTAGTTGTACAGGACAGACCAGATCGGCCCAGGTCTGTGGTGGCATGAGATAATGTCAGTTTCCATCAGGCTGCTCTGGTCAGGTCTGGTTCACCAACCACAATCAACCTGAAGTGGTGTACTTGCCCCATTTTTAAACCCTAGAGAAGAACGTTTTTCATCTCGGACGCGGTGTGTGTGCCGCCCAACTGGAACAGGCCTGCAGCGACATTCAGGTGACCATAATCTTTGCCTGCAATGCCGATGAGTTCCTGTGGCCAGACCCCAGATCCATGAGCTCACGTGTGCACAACGGCCATGATGCTCTGCGTTAATAGTGTAGTATTTTATTTGTTTTTGCTTCATCTGGATTCAAGTTACCACAACGTACAACAATGAGTAGGACAGTTTGGGCGCCGGTGGCACAGGAGCCAAGCGCTTTTCCTGTGATCGGAAGGTTGCAGGTTCGAGCCCCGCTCAGTCTGTCGCTGTGTCCTTGGGCAAGACACTTAACCCCCCTTGCCTGCTGGTGGTGGTCGGAGGGACCGGTGACGCTTGTGTACGCCAGACTCACCTGTCAGTGCGCCCCAGGGCAGCTGTTGCTACAATGTAGCTCATCACCACCAGAGTGTGAACGGGTGAATGACTGATTGTGTTGTAAAGTGCCTTGGGGGGCTCCAGTACTCTAGAGGGCGCTATATCAAACACAGATCACTTACCATTTATGTGGTTGCTTGTTAGAAAATGTGCCTTCTGATGAAACAGTGGAAGACTTCAGTGTTTTATATAAACCAGGCTAGTCTCTCCTCCCTGATCTGAATGTTTTGTTTATTGATTGATTGATTGATTTTTATGGAAGCTTATTGTCATTTACAACAGTGATCAGGGCCAAGAGGCAGCAGCAACAGACACATACTGTAATTAGCTCTAAAGAACAACGACGGTTCTCATTTACGATATGTGCAAGAAATCAAAACAGACTTAAAACAACTTTTAGGCAACCAGAAGCAGGCACACCGATCAGGAACTATTGATCAGAATTAATTATGATGCAAGTATGTGTCATCAGAGTGACATTTTGACAAATGATCCCAGTTGCTGTGTCGTGTTTACCTTGTGTGTTGAGTTTTGTACAGTGTGTTTAAGTAACGGCTAAACTGATCTTTGAGCCTCTATGAAGCATAAAACATTTGTTGGAGCTTAAAATGTCCCAGGAGCCCCGAAAAATGGGAAATAAAACATGCATATAAGGGTGTGTGTGTGTGTGTATGAAGGGATGACCTTGGCTTTAACAATAGATGTTTTGCTGTTGACCTATTTCTCCCAGACTGTTGCTCAGAGGCAACAGGGCTTCCTTATGGGTGTTTGTGGTGCGTCATCGGAGTGAGTGTTCAACAATGAGTGAAGAAAACACGGACAAACCCTCCGCCTCATCGCTCGGGAGTTTTTGAAGAGCTGAACGGAAGCCTAGGGGGCGGTTCATACCACCGCCATCTTAGCCGAGTTGCACGTCTCATGACTCCCGGAAAATACAAAAACTGAGCTGAGAGAGGGGCTGTGAGGGTGGGGCCAGATGATCGACACCCAACTGAGACTATGTAGCTAATGCTAATGCTAATGGAAGTTTGTGGGTGCTTTTAGCCAGAAAACTGGTCGAGCAACTGCTACCCTCAGCCTTCTCTATTTTCTACGATCTTTTTTAAATCATCCATCCATCCATTGTCCAGAGCCGGGTCGCGGGGGCAACAGCCTAAGTTGAGAGGTCCAGACTTCCCTCTACCCAGCCATTTGGGCCAGCACTTCCAGGGGAATCCCAACGCATTGTCTGGCCAGCCGAGAGAAACAATCCGTCCAACGTGTCCTGGGTCTCCTCCCAGTTGGATGTGCCTGGAAAACCTCACCAGAGAGGCGTCCCGGAGGCATCCTAATCAGATGCTCGAGCCACCTCACCTGGCTCCTCTCGATGTGGACTAGCAGCAGATCTACTCGGAGCTTCTCACCCTATCTCTAAGGGAGAGCTCAGCCACCCTGCGGAGAAAACTCATTTTGGCCGCTTGTATCTGTGATCTCGTTCTTTCGGTCACTACCCAAAGCTCAAGACCACAGGTGAGGGTAGGAACGTAGATCGGCCGGTAAATCGAAGCTTTGCCTTCTGGCTCATCTCTGTCTTCACCACGACAGACCGGTACAACGCCCGCATCCCTGCAGATGCAGCATAAGGGCCTAACAGCCTGTATCAGAGGGCCTGGTCAGTGTTGTGAACTGTCGTTATGGCGTGCGCAAACTAATAAACTATGTGTTTATTTATTTGCTTTGTTGTTTACTACATTATTTGGGGCTGCGTGTTGCTCTTTATGACCCAAGCTCAGTAACCTTTTCTTTGGGCAAAAAATTTAGAAAATTCACTGAATTTGAGAAGTTCCTCAATTTAAAGATAATTAAATGTTTTGCACTCTGAATATTTCAATTTGAGGTACATCCTTGCTTCCTGTGTCAGCCTAAGTAATCCCTCTGGTTGACTGATAACTCACCTTTTTATGAAACCCAATCAAACTGTTTTTCCTCTTGAACTTTGAACTAGTTTGTCTTTGAAACAAACTTTCCCAACACTAGGTCTGGTACCCTTACACCTGAAGTACCCCCACTAGGCCCCACAGGGCCCCCGAGGGACGTGGTCGAAGGCCTTCTCCAAATCCACAAAACACATTTGGATGGGCGAACTCCCACATACCCTCCAGGACCCCTTTATTAGAATCATTTCATTAATATTTGTATTGTTCCTCTGAAGTGCCTTGTATTGCTGCCAGGGCAGCAGTAGCTCAGGAGGTAGTGCAGGTTGTCCAGTAATCAGAGGGTTGCACAACTGATCCCGGCTCCCTGCAGGCAATTCTGCCACTGTGTCCTCGGGCAAGACCCTGAACCCTCCTTGCCTGTTGGTGGGGGTCGGAGGGACCGGTGGCGCCTGACTCGGCAGACTCGCCCCTGTCAGTGCGCCCCAGGGCAGCTGTGGCTACGACGTAGCTCATCACCCCCAGTGTGTGAATGGATGAATGATTCTCTGTAGTGTAAAGTACTTTGGAGTCCTCTGACTCGGAAAGAAGATCCTTTCTTCTTCCTCCTCTAAGCACCACGTCAGTGTTATGGCCGGTTGTAACTGCAGGATTGTGAGTGACATGGTGTTGTGATAAATAACCATCTCTGATTATTATTTATTCAACTAGCAAAGGCTGCACTAATATAACAGAAGTCCTGTTCATTTAGGATACCCACAGTCTTATCATACTTTCAAACTTTTCCCATAAAGAAAAACTTCAATATCATCTTAGCATCAGGGCACAACGGGGGTGTGGGGCCCTCCCCCTACAGGTTAAAATTATTATTATTATATCGTTGTTTTTCAGTTAACAACTACAACAAGTAGCTGTAAAAACTAAAGAAATATCAATGCAATAACATCAGCAACACAAAATGAAACGTTTGGCCTAGTTCGGTGTTATTTCAACTCGAGTCTCCTTTGCTACATCTCAGAAATGTGTTGGACTACGAACCGAGTTCTGCAGAAATAACAAAAACACAATTACCAGTTTTTTCTTTTCTCTCGTACAAAGCACCTCCTGTAAACTCCTCTGTTCCCACCAGGCCCCCACAATGCGGGTCTGAAATTGAAGCCAACACGGAAGTGACAAAAATTGCAGTTCCACCCTCATCCACTGGGGGCTGGTGTCAGAAGCGAGCAAATACTCATTGACTCCCATGATCTAGTTTACACTCATGACAACTCTGAGGGGGGTGAATGTTTTTCTCACTCTTCTGTTTAAGTGTATTAAAAGCCTAAAATTCGGTATAATTAATGAGCATCAGACCCACGTGACCACAGAGCTAGCTCCGTGGAAAGGCCTCAGCCTGAGCCTCGGTCTGGCCTGGAAACTGTTCCGTCATTTACAGTCTCTCATCTTAGACCATTAGTTGTAGCGTTTGTGTTTTCTTTTTGGGATATTTTTGTGCAATTGTTGGACAAAATGACTTGCTGTGGCATTAATTGCACTAATAGAGCGTCCAAGGAGTCTCCACTTCATTTTTTTCGGTAAGTAAAATTATATTTATGTATTTTAGGTCACTGCCGAGCTGAGCTTAGATTTTAACATGTACTGTTTAACCATGACATTTAAATGTAATAGGGTAAAACCCAGTGCATTTAACATAATGCTGCACTTTAGAAAATGGGTTGAAATATAACATGTTGGTGGAGCTGGGTTCTGACTATCAGTGTGGTCTCCCTCCCCTCAGCTCGGCGCATCTTTGATCTCCGCAGCGCTTGTCTGCTGTGCGGCTGCCGGCTTGTGGAGCTCTCGGGAGACCTCTGTGTTCCACCCGGTTTTACCCAGCGGTCAGCCCGGCACATCTCTGACTCAGAAGCTCTGCTGTTGTGCACAGTTAACTCCGGTTGTAGCTACGTAGCTACCTCCGTTAGCTTAGCTCCCACCTCCGCTTTAGCTTTGGGTTAGCTTCAAGTTAGCTTGTAGCTATATTAGCTTCAGTTCGACGGGTGTCGTCTAGTGATGGGATATATGGCTCTTTCCTGGGAGCCGTTCAAAAGACTGGCTCCTTTGAACTAAGTGGAGCCAAGAGAGCGGGGGGGGGGGGGGGGGGGGGGGGGGGGATCAAGAACAACGTCTTCCTGCGGTGTCCGTGAGGGCGCACAGGGTTGGTTAGCGTTCCTACCATAGATATGTATATGAACACGTGTTTATAAACATATCTATGGTTCCTCCTACGTCTGTCACAGCGGTGGGCGGGGTTTGAGCGGGTGAGTTTGACGACTTCCGGGGAGGTTTGTTAAGATGAACGGCTCCCTGCAGGGACTCGGCTCTCATCATTCACTTTGAAAACCCGTTCAAAAGATTCGATTCGTTCGTGAACGTCACATCACTAGTGTCGTCAGTTGATCCCAGCCTTACAGCCCCACCCTCAGCTCCACCTTTCTTCCCTTTTATGGAATTGTCTGGGCTTGACGGAACCTGTGACACGGTCAAAATGGCGGTGGTGGCCACCTCCCATTTTAACTCAAAAACGTGTTATTGGAGCCTATGGAAAGCCATTGTCCATATATATGTATGTCGATGGTCCAACCCCCCACCCCCCCACACACACCATAAAGGCCTCGCTGCTGGGTGTGTGTCCTTATGCTGAAAGCCCGTTGGCTTGGGTCTGAGACAGTCCGCTTTCTGATTGGGTTAAAACATTGTCCGTCCCTGGCTGAGCAGTGGCCGTGTCTCGATGAGCCTTTTCTCGGATCAGGTTCTTACGGTGGTAGAAGAGATAGCCAGGTAACAGGAAGCAGGCCAGGGAGAGGATGAGGAGGCCCACGTTGATCTGTTGGAAGAAGGCACGGATAAGAACAAACTGTGTAGCCTGCTGTGTGAACCGGTGATGCACAGAAACACGATACACCGATACCTTCGACCAGCACCTGAAACTGAGACATTGTTTTTTATGATGACTCAAAGTTGGACTCACTTGGGAAATATTACATAACCAACTTATACATTAACTTCAGACAGTATTTTGGCAGGAGGTTCGAATGCAGACATGCTAGAGGGATTATTCACCATGTTGGTCAGAGAACCCCTTAGGGTTGAGTTGGTGGAGGTTGCTAGGTTACGAGCCTGAACTGGCCCACAGCCTGGTCATATGGATCTTACCTGACATACCGACAACATCCCCAACGTATCCCTTACTGCCCTGAGGCCGGTGTGTTTGTGTAGAAGCTTCCTACCCAGTAAGCATCTCCGCTGAGGTGTCCCACCATCAATATGAAGAGTGGCTGTTGGAGCAAGGCAAAGGCAGCGCTGATCATTGACTGCAAACCCGTCAGGGTCCCAAAGTGGTTGGCTGGATACCTACAGGAGGACGGAAGCAAGGAAAGGTCTTCTCACTTCAGCCTAAAGTCCCAAAAATACCAACTTAAACCAAACGGTAAAAGTGTTAACAGCTCTGCAGAAGCTGTAACCAAAGTTCATGCGAATACTTCTTTAGGATGAAAACACTTTTCTTTCACTAACACATCATTAAACATCTGTCTGTTGTTAGGTTAGGTGAGATAACACAGTCAACTGTGAGCTAAAAGGAGTCCGTCCGTCCGTCCATCCATCCATCCATCCATCCATCCATTTTCTTCCACTAATCCGGAGTCGGGTCGCGGGGCAACAGCCTAAGTCGAGAGACCCATGCTTCCCTCTCCTCAGCCACTTGGGGCAGCTCTTCTGGGGAATCCCAAGGGGTTCCCTGACCAGTCTCTCCAGCGTGTCCTGGGTCTCCCTTTAGATCTCCTCCTGGTCGGAAGTGCCCGGAAAACCTCACCAGGGAGGCATCCAGGAGGCATCCTAACTAGATGCCCGAGCCACCTCAACTGGCACATCTCGATGTGGAGGAGCAGCCGGTCTACTCTGAGCTTCTCACCCTGTCTCTGAGAGAGAGAGCCCGGCCACCCTGTGGAGAAAACTCATTTCGGCCGCTTGCATCCGCGATCTCGTTCTTTCGGTCTCTACCCAAAGCTCGTGACCACAGGTGAGGGTAGGAACGTAGATCGACCGGTAAATCGAGAGCTTCGCCTTCTGGCTCATCTCTCTCTTCACCACGACAGATCGGTACAACGCCCGCACCACTGCAGATGCAGCACCTATCCACCCGTCGATCTCACGCTCCAGCGTTCCCTCACTCGTGCAAGAGGACCTGGCTGCAGCAAAATGGTGACTTGAGCTCCACCTCCAGTCACCACTGCCTTACTGGAAGTGATTGTTTGACGTTTCACGTGAACTAAAGTCGCGTGGCCTTTTTTCCACAAATTTTTAAACAAAAGTCACAAAAAAAAACATATTTTAAAAACGGAAAGAACTTCGAAATCAAGTTAATGTTTTTTCTGCATTCAACCTGGATGAAATGTTTAATTATCTTTACAGCTGATGATTTTGTCTTTTACTTTCAAATTACTGGAGCAAAACCACTCAGAAACATTGATGTAATTAACATATATACGAGGTAAAGACCCTCAAAAATAACAACAAACAGATTATTGAGGAGTTTACAGCAAGTTCAGAACTGTGATGGAAAAAATGGCCAATGTTTCAGTCAAGAGTAGATGTGGTCGATTGTTGTACGAACATGAAAGACGAAAAAACTAAAACTAACTTCGTATTTGTTTGTTTTAAAACAGCTAAGATGTAAAGCTGTACTAACCTAGTTCACCTGCTACTGGTACCAGTCTGTTAATTACAGCGATGTAGCAACATACTATTATACGTTGTACATATGTCTAAAATAATATTGTTAGAACAATAAAAAAACAATCATGTTGTCATATCACTTTATTTAATATATTGCATGGGTGACTGACAGCCATAGTTCGGCCACTGGTTAACACCAACCAGTGCCATATTAATAGGTATAGTGGTCTCTTTCTTCCTAAATTTTAATCTATTTTTATTGCAGGTCAGATTATAACCTGTTTATGTCTTTAATTTATCTTTCTGTGTGTGTGCTGCCTTAACATGAGGATTACCCCACTGTGGGATTATTAATCTGTTCATAAATGTCCCTTACATAAAACTTTAAAGCCTAATTAATAACACACCATAAGTGGATTTTTTCAATGAGAATCAAACAGTGATTAATGACATTTAACCCTCCCACTGTCCTAATGGGTGTGACCCCGCGAGGAAAGTCAGGGTTGGTGGTTTATCCCTTGGGTCCATGTGGCAGGGGTGAGGAGTGAACACAGCAACTCATGTCGCCTCTAAGATATGCTTCAATTATATAAGGCCTGTTTGAAAATATATGACTCATAAATTAGAGAATAATAAAAAAAAAGTCACTTACTTTCATTTCAGCCACCACAGCTCGCACTGACTCATGACTAACGGTGCTTCCGGTTAATGCCATGCACAGAACTTTTGGCCATGGGACTTTCGGGGTCAAACAATTATTTCTGATAGGGTAATGGCGACTGGAGGTGGAGCTCCAATCACCATTTTGCTGCAGCCAGGTGCCTCTCCACTCATGAACAAGACCCTGGATGCTTAAACTCCTCCACTTGGGGCAGGACCTCATCCCTGACCCAGAGAAGGCGTTCTACCCTTTTCCGACTCAAGACCACGGTCTCGGATTTGGTGGAGCTGATTCTCATCCCAGCTGCTTCACACTCAACTGAAAACCGCTCCAGAAAAAGCCGGAGATCACGTTCTGGTGAAGCCAACAGAACCCTCAACACCTTGGGTGCTCGTAGAAATCCTGTCCATAAATGTTAGGAACAGAATCGGTGACAAAGGGCAGCCTTGGCGGAGTCCATCTCCCAGTGGGAGGACCTGATACCCCATTCTCCTGGAGTACCCCCCACAGGGCCCCCCAGGTGAACGCCTTCTCCAAACCCACTAAACAATGTAGACTGGTTGGGCGAACTCCCACACACCCTCCAGGACCCCCCTAAGGGTATAGAGCTGGTCCAGTGTTTCTCGGCCGGGACAACAACCACATTGCTCCCCCGGAGTGTGAGGTTCGACAATCCGCCGGACCCTCCTCCCTCTCCAGAACCCCTGAACAGACCTCACCATTGAGACTCAGGAGTGTGATCCCCTGTGGTTGGAACACACCCTTATTTGAAAGGAGACATTTGTTTTAAAACCAAGAGAAGTCAGACAACCTGATGATGTCTGCCAGGCTTAGGGCTAGGGTTATGGGTTAGGGTTAGGGATCATTTAAATAATCCCTACTGCCTAGCTTCATCTCACCATCCGACTGTCTGGAGGCTTAAAACTCACACAGCAGCGTAGAGACCCCCACAGCAGGAGTGGACAAACCCTCTCACGATGGTGTGAAGGACAAATGACACCACCTGTTGGAGAACAACAAAGACAGCAATAGATGGATTTATATTACGACCCCGTCTGTCTGCCTACTTGTCTGTCTGTCTGCCTGTCGGCCCACCTGTCTGTCTGCCTGTCTCTCTGTCTATCGTAGCTGTACAGTCATCTAAACTACTGGGGTGGTTTCAGACGAGGACATAACAGAGTGGATCTTTTAAAGTGAATGACTCGAATGTTTGTCAAACGGTTCATCTTGAGAGCAGCAAGGCCCACAGATCGGCAACATTTGCGTTTCTAATCTGCACGGTGGTGCGCTGTTGCTTTCCAGTGAGAAGGTCAAAGGTTCAAATCGCAGCTGTGACCTTTCTGCGTGGAGTTAGCATGTTGTCTCTGTGACCGTGTCTTCATGTCTCCTGGTACTCCGGTTTCTCCCACAGACCAAAAACACTCCAAACTGTCCCTAGATGTGAGTAGTTGTACGTCTCATGTGCCGCTTGTGTCCCCATGATGGACTGAAGACCTGTCTAACGAATCTCTCGTCTCTTGCCCACTGACTGCTGCGGGAACACACACCGTACACGCCAGCTCCCTGAGACCCAAGTGAAACGCAACGAAGGTGAGTTAGTAAATCCACGTTTAGTTCCTTGGCTCTGTCTCAGTAGGACCACCGCTTCTGCTGACAGCCTGACCCCGGCTTTCCACCGGAGCCTTCAGCAGCACGTCTTGCTCGCGTAAGCTGCTGCTTGGCCCTTCCCACGAGACGCGGAGCAGCAGGGGAGCAGCTGTCACCGACAGAGCACGAAGTCACACGAGTGACTTCGTCAGTAAACACAACAACAAGCAGGAGAAAACTACAACATGGTTTGTGTTTTATGTTCTGTCCATTTTATAATCGCCAATACGGACCTGAAAAACAAAGGAGACCGCTAGCTAGGTGATAAATTCTCACGGGGACGCACAGTTAGTAACTTCTTTTAAAAGTAAAGCAACCGGAAGGCAGTACGTTCTTTATTCTGAAAATCTCGGGAGCTTCTCTCCGTTTCCGCGTCGGATTTCCTGTCTTTCTTTCCCCAAAAATGTCGAACTTGACCCGTTTCAGAGGCGTCGCGCGTAGAAAATAGAACCGGCGCGTAAAGGCCGCGACATGCTGCTCCTGAGACGCGGCCGACTCGCGCTGCTGACGGTTGCTGACGGCTCCAGTGGAAAAGGTTCTGTTGACCACAGCGGTTCCTATCAGCAGCTATGACGTGCTGCTGCAGTAACGTGCTGCTGACGGCTCCGGTGGAAAGCCGGGGTGAGACAGAACAGAACCAGAAAAGCTGCTCTCCCTGACAAACCCTTTCTGCACACTCAGATGGTTTTTGATATTGTATCGACGCATTTACAGATGTGTGTTAACTGACTCACCAAGCCCTCTGTGAGGGCCCAGACGGTTTACCACGATTGTGACGATCAAACATGGATCCATGCTTGAGGAATTCTAGTCTCACCAAAATGTCTTTGAATCAAACCAAAACTTCCGCACTTCAAAAATCATCCTTTCTAACGGCGGTTGTGATATTAGCACACATACCTCTACCTTCAGCTCTGTTTCCATTATTTCATGCTGGGTGTCTTCTGTCATTCACAAGCTGGTGATGCGACACCCTCAGCAACCCTGCTTCCCGCTAAGTGGACTACAGCAGAACAAACCTGGAGGACGTTTATGTGCATCCCATGAATAGGTCACCAAACATGATGGGCAGCAACATTTACTTGTTCAAGGTCCCTGCTGACGTTGCAGAGCAGCAAGTAGTTAGCACCGATAATGAGTTCATCAGAACCTCCAGTCAGCAGCTCCCGGCTGGTGCTTTTGGCAGCAGTGGACTTGGTCTTTATCACACGTCGGTGTTTTCGAGTCACGGCACATTTTGGTTTTATGTTATTCACCTGAGGTTGTATTCACCAAGTGTTGGTCATGATAGAGAGCGTATTGTTTCTGAAGCAAACACTTACAGCAGCGCGTCTCTCATAAATGACATTTTCCTCCAGTTCCAGCATGCATGAAACCCATAATTCCATTATTGTTCAGAATTTTTCTAACCTGTAAAGGCAAGTTGTCAATCAAGGAAATAATTCCAAAGACGACCAAAAGGAGGTTGGTGAAGATGAATGCTTTGATGGCATTGGTCAGTTTCTGGATCTTTCTGTCTCTCTTTGGGTGATCTGATTGGCTGAGGGAACAATTGTCAAATGTGAAATGATGTTTTCAATTAAAAATGAATTCAGGATGTTACAGGGTCAACAAGAAGGGTTAGAAGGTCACCACGAACCCCAGGAAGAGCTCCTTTAAAAAAAAGGTGATGCACTAATGTGAAACTGACACGAATCTATTCTGGACATCAAACATCTCCGGTTCTCTCTGAAACTCTATCTCCATTTCTTTGGTTTGTTTGAAATCAGCTAGCTAATTTCAGATCAAGATGTCTCATTTAAATACAAAATGCAGATTTAAATACTGATTTCATTGGGTAAAAAAACCTGCCTCTGTGGGAAAAAGCACATTATTTATTTAGAGCACCCGTTATTGCCCATACCTTAGGTTCATGGGTGTGTTTGGATCTTCTGCCTCACACTCTTCCATCCTCCAGTCCATGATGTAACCAATCAAGGGACATGTCAGTAGACACAGAAGCTGGATTGCACCAAAGATGGAGGAGTAGAAACCCACTGGAAAGGACATCTAGAGTTAAATGAACACAGAACCAGGACTGGGCCCTGAGCCGAGTCTCGCAGGCTTTTAGTCTCGTATCTGAGCATCCTGGCACGTACCTTGCTCCTTCACTATCTTCCTAAGCTCTTCAGAGGCTGAAAGAGATGGCAGCAGGTCAAAAGTCACCATTTTTCATTTTCATCGTAAAACGAATGTTTGTTTTAATGTTGGAACCTTGCGTGTTTTTCCAGAAGAAGACTAGACAATGTCAGAGTCTAATCTGGTCATTGTTGGTTTGAGGTAAACAAGAGAGCTTTTGTGCTTACGGTGGGGGTCACCATGAATGACCAAGAACTCGATCATCTTATTCATGGCACCCATGAAAAAGATGAGCCTCAGCTGGGTGACAGCCATGGTGAGGATGCTCCACAGGAAGATGGGGGAGCACACAGACTGGCAAAAGGGCACCGAAGCTGGGGGGAAACAAAGAGTGAGCCGTTCCATTTACAGAAGAAGTTTCAGCATTTCTGCAACGTCATAACACTTCACTGCAGGATCATACTTTATAACTCATGATCTGTCTCACAAATCAAACCTGTGCGTCGGACTGATTCAAGAGCGCACCTTTACCAGGGTTTCATCCTCGATCACCAACAACAGAAACCTTTTACGAATGTTTTGTAATGAAATTGTTCAACAAATATTTGAAATGAGGTGAGGATCTGTGATCTGATTCTTCTGTGAGTCCCATGATTTCTCATCAAGCAGCAGCATTTCCTCTTCCATAGCCGAAACCCTTATATGCTCTTTGTTTGCGCAGACAGGTGTGTATTTGTGAATAGTTTGGGCAATGCTAATGAGATTTAGCTAATTTTTTGTAGTATGTGTAAGATTTAGGAATTACCAAAAATAGTACAAAAAATTCCCTTACTCCATTGAACATAACGCTGAACTGATTTAACAGCATTAATGCTCCTTCAGACCCTGTTGTGCCATTGACTCCCGTGTAAATCATTTTTGAAATTATCAGCATAATTTATTTTTTTTCTTATTCTGTCTGGGCTCCCAGACCAGCCAGACTCAATTTTAAGTTTATTTGTTTTCCACTAGATGGCGTATTTTCCGGAGGTATCGCATATTTTCCGGAGGTATCGCGAGGCAATAACTGACGCTGCTTTCAAAGAAAAAAAAAGTGAATACAAATACTTTATGACACTCCAATGTGTTGAAAATTCATCCACAAAACATATCATCTGGACATAATCAATCAATCAATCAAATTTTATTTGTATAGCACCTTCTACAACATTATCCGAAGCCCAAGGTGCTGAACAACATCATTAAAAGAAAAACATTCCCAGTACATGGGCATAAAGCAGGATAAAAACATAAAATTATAAAATATCTAGCAAACAGCATTACAGATAAGAGATATCGGAATAAGACTAATCGATAAAAAAACAAATGTCGGACAAAATAAAATCAAGCATCTGGGTTAAAAAGAAGAATAGTTAAAACCATAATGTTAGGGCAATTCAAATGACCCTAGCGCTGAAACGCAATCAGATAAAAATGAGTCTTTAAACGAGACTTAAAGACTTGAAGGGATGGTGCCTGCCTAATGCTCAGTGGCAATTCGTTCCACAGAGTTGGAGCCAAAATAGAAAACGCACGACAACCCCTCGATCGAAATTTCGACCGGGGGACCACCAGAAGTTCCTGCTCGGCTGAGCGAAGAGACCGAGATGGAGCATACCTGTTCAAAAGTGCAGTAATGTACGAGGGGGCACTGCCCTGGAGGGCCTTATAAACAAGAGTTAAGATTTTAAACTGAGCTTGATATTTTACCGGGAGCCAGTGCAGAGCATCCAGCACTGGGGTAATGTGCTCTCGACATCTAGTACCTGTCAGGAACCTAGCCACTGAGTTCTGTACAAATTGGAGCCATGCAGCCGTGCACTGGGCCAGACCAGCATACAGAGCGTTGCAGTAGTCCAGCCGGGACAGGACGAAGGCATGCAACACAGACTCCAGATGAGCTCTGGACAGCAGAGGCCTGATCCTGGATAGTCTTTTCAGGTTAAAGAAACAGGACCTCACCACTGTATTTACATGAGTGTCAAGATTAAGTGATGAGTCGATTTTAATCCCCAAATTACTGACCATTTTCTTTTCATAGGGGGTCAATGGGCCAAGGTCAATATCAGCACCAGAGCCATTTCTTCTGCCAGGACTAAGTATTATAACTTCCGTTTTGCTCTCATTTAGGTGCAAAAAATTAGAAGCCATCCAGCATTTTATGTCCTTCAAGCAATCCAGTAAAGGAGAAACAGATCTATCCTCCCCACGTCGAAGAGGGAGATAGATCTGGCAGTCATCAGCAAAGAAATGAAATTTCATATTATGCTGGCGAAGGAGGACTCCAAGAGGAAGCAAATACACTGCAAATAGGAGAGGACCAAGGACAGAGCCCTGTGGCACACCCCAACGAAGTTTCAAAAAATAACACACAAAAAATGATTAAATGTTTTCATTATTTACATTTCTAGCTTTGATCATAAACCTGGAAATAAAGGGGTTAAATCTCAGAAACACACGTTTATATCGTCTAATATTTCTACAGGAGGTTGTGTGTCAGCACTGTTGTGCGCTAGCAGCAGAAATGCTAGAAATGAAAGCGTTACTTGCCATACTTGTGGAAGGCATTCTGGTTTTTTTCAGGTATTTTCAGAGCCCATTTTTCACCACTTTTAGCTTTAACCCAACCCTCCAGAAGTTTCCACCTGTAACTTCTCTTTATTTAACTTATTGACGTTTTTGTTGTAGGAATCATGACAGTCACTTACACTAGAGCTAAACTAACCAAACACCAATGGTGATCAGAACCGTACCTTTGGTCCGAGAGCCCCTCGGGTTGTGTTCTAGCTGCGACGTCCCACTCTCATCTTCTGTGACCGTCTCATGGTTGTCCCCCGTTGTCCTGTACTCTGTGACAACTCTGTTCATCCTTATCTCCTCTCTGCTGACGCAAGATAAAAAGCCTGATGGTATACAGACTTGTGATGAGAGCAAGACTAAAGCGTTCTTCACACCGAATGCAGAACGGATGCGGTCCGGTTTCCGTCCAGCTTCGGCAAAGATAAAAGAACCTCGAGTCCAATCAGAGCATTAACGGCTGCGGTGCAGACCTGGATGAATATTTTTTCTCTCTGCATATGGATTGTCAGGAAGGTAAAGATATTATGAAAGCCAGACAGGAAGTGAGATGTGTTTCAGCGAGGTGCACCTGGCATATTTGTGTTGTGTTGTTGGACCATTGTCCTGATTATTCTCCTTACCCTGATTTTTACACTGTAATAAATTATTGCTTTAACACTCAGAAACCACAACTCTTAACTTCTTGGGCAAAATGAACGGAAGTGCTTTATGGTCATTTTAAACTAATTTGGTTGAAATTCCCAAGGTGGCATTGATGGTTTTTCATCTCATAATCTGTCTGTTGCTACCGTCACCTTATCGTGGTGGAGGAGTTTGAGTGCCCTAATGATCCTAGGAGCTATGTTGTCTGGGGCACTTAGTGCCCCTGGTAGGGTCTCCCATGACAAATTGGTCTTAGGTGAAGGGTGAGACAAAGAACGGTTCGAAGGATCTTTCATGGCGGTTAAAACGAAGAGTCGGAGTACCCGGCCCGGAGGGTTACCGGGGTCCCACCCTGGAGCCAGGCCTGGGGTTGGGGCCCGTGAGCGAGCGCCTGGTGGCCGGGCTTTCGCCCATGGGGCCCGGCCGGGCCCAGCCCGAACCGGATACATGGGCTCGTCCAACTGTGGACCCACCAGCCGCAGGAGGAACATGAAGGGTCCGGTGCAATGCGAATCGGGTGGCAGACCAAGGCGGGAGCCTTGGCGGTCCAATCCCCGGACAAGAAAACTAGTTTTTGGGACATGGAACGTCACCTCGCTGGCGGGGAAGGAGCCGGAGCTTGTGGCAGAGGTTGAGCGGTACCGGCTAGATATAGTCGGACTCACCTCGACACATTGCATTGGCTCTGGAACCCGAGACCTGGAGAGGGGTTGGACACTCTACTTTGCTGTAGTTGCTCCAGGTGAGAGGCGGAGGGCTGGGGTTGGCTTTTTGTTAGCCCCGAGACTCTCTGCCTGTGTGTTGGGGTTTACCCCGGGGGACAAGAGGGTAGCTTCCTTGCGCCTTCGGGTCGGGGAACGGGTCCTGACTGTTGTTGTGCTTATGGGCCAAATATCAGTTCAGAGTACCCACCCTTTTTGGAGTCCCTGGGACGAGTGCTAGATAGTGCTCCATCAGGGGACTCCATTGTCCTGCTGGGGGACTTCAATGCTCACGTGGGCAATGACAGCTTGACCTGGAGGGGTGTGATTGGGAGGAACGGCCCACCTAATCTGAACTCGAGCGGTGTTTTGTTATTGGACTTCTGTGCAAGCCGCAGTTTGGCCATAACGAACACCATGTTCGAACATAAGGATGCCCACCGGTACACTTGGTACCAGGGCAGCCTAGGTCACAGGTCGATGATAGATTTTGTAGTCGTATCATCTGACCTGCGGCCGTATGTTTTGGACACCCGAGTGAAGAGAGGGGCGGAGCTGTCAACTGATCACCACCTGGTGGTGAGTTGGATCAGATGGCAAGGGAACATGCCGCGTAGACCTGGCAGACCCAAACGCATAGTGAGGGTCTGCTGGGAACGCCTGGCAGAAGAACCTGTCAAGACGGTCTTCAACTCCCACCTCCGGCAGAGCTTTGACCACGTCCCGAGAGCAGTGGGGGACATTGAGTCCGAGTGGGCCTTGTTCCACTCTGCGATTGTTGAGGCGGCTGTTGCTAGCTGTGGTCGTAAGGTGGCCGGTGCCAGTCGTGGTGGCAACCCCCGTACCCGCTGGTGGACACCAGAGGTTCGGGGAGCCGTCAGGCTGAAGAAGGAGGCCTACAGGGCGTGGCTGGTCTGTGGGTCTCCAGAGGCAGCAGACAGGTACCGGATAGCCAAGCGGGGTGCAGCAGTGGCAGTTGCCGAGGCAAAATCTCGGGCGTGGGAGGAGTTTGGTGAGGCCATGGAGAAAGACTATCGATCGGCTCCAAAGAGGTTCTGGCAAACTGTCCGGCGCCTCAGGAGAGGAAGGCAGCAACTCGCTCACACTGTTTACAGTGGGGATGGGGAGCTGCTGACGTCAACTGAGGCTATAGTCGGACGGTGGAAGGAATACTTTGAGGAGCTCCTCAATCCCACCAATGCGCATTCCGAGGAGGAACCAGAGCTGGGAGGCCTGGGGATGGACTGTCCGATCTCGGGGGCAGAAGTTGCTGAGGTAGTCAAACAACTACACAGCGGCGGAGCCCCGGGGGCGGATGAGGTTCGTCCTGGGTATCTCAAGGCTATGGATGTTGTAGGGCTGTCATGGTTGACACGTCTCTACAACATTGCGTGGTCATCGGGGGCAGTTCCTAGGGAGTGGCAGACCGGGGTGGTGGTCCCCATCTTTAAGAAGGGTGACCTGAGGGTGTGTTCCAACTATAGGGGGATCACACTCCTCAGCCTCCCTGGAAAGGTCTACGCCAAGGTACTGGAGAGGAGGGTCCGATCGATAGTTGAATCTCAGATAGAGGAGGAGCAATGTGGTTTTCGTCCTGGCCGTGGAACTGTGGACCAGCTCTATACCCTTGCAAGGGTGATGGAGGGGGCATGGGAGTTTGCCCAACCAATCCACATGTGCTTTGTGGATTTGGAGAAGGCTTATGACCGTGTCCCCAGGGGCACCCTGTGGGGGACGCTCCAGGAGTATGGGGTGGGTGGCTTTCTGTTAAGGGCCATTCAGTCCCTTTACCAGAGGAGCGTGAGTTTGGTCCGCATAGCCGGTAGTAAGTCGGACCTGTTCCCAGTGAGGGTTGGACTCCGCCAGGGCTGCCCTTTGTCACCGGTTCTGTTCATCACTTTTATGGACAGAATTTCTAGACGCAGCCGTGGTGTGGAGTGTGTCGAGTTTGGTGGCAGGAGAATCTCGTCTCTGCTTTTTGCGGATGATGTGGTCCTCCTAGCTTCATCCAGCTCTGACCTTCAGCTCTTGCTGGGTAGGTTCGCGGCCGAATGTGAAGCGGCTGGGATGAGGATCAGCACCTCCAAATCTGAGACCATGGTTCTCGACCGGAAAAGGGTGGCTTGCCACCTCCGGGTCGGGGGAGAGGTCCTACCTCAAGTGGAGGAGTTTAAGTATCTCGGGGTCTTGTTCACGAGTGAGGGTAGGAGGGATCGGGAGATCGACAGGCGGATTGGTTCGGCGTCTGCAGTGATGCGGACGCTGAGCCGATCTGTCGTGGGGAAGAGGGAGCTGAGCCAGAAGGCCAGGCTCTCGATTTACCGGTCGATCTACGTCCCAATCCTCACCTATGGTCATGAGCTTTGGGTAATGACCGAAAGAACGAGATCACGGATACAAGCGGCCGAAATGAGTTTCCTCCGTAGGGTGGCCGGGCTCAGCCTTAGAGATAGGGTGAGGAGCTCGGACATTCGGGAGGGACTCGGAGTAGAACCGCTGCTCCTCCGGATCGAAAGGAGCCAGTTGAGGTGGTTTGGGCATCTGGTCAGGATGCCTCCTGGACGCCTCCCCGGGGAGGTGTTTCGGGCATGTCCTGCCGGCAGAAGGCCCCCGGGTCGACCCAGGACACGTTGGAGAGGTTACATCTCCAATCTGGTCCGGGAACGCCTTGGGGTCCTGCCGGAGGAGCTGGTGGACAAGGCCGGGGAGAGGACGGCCTGGAGCTCCCTAGTTGGGATGCTGCCCCCGCGACCCGGACCCGGATAAGCGGAGGAAGACGAAGACGAAGCTATAAGGCCACACAGTTCAGTTCAATTCAATTTATGTATAAAGCGCCAAATCACGACAAGAATCGTCTCAAGGCACTTCACACAGTAAACATTCCTGTCAGGTCAGTTCATTAAGCCAATCAGTAAAAAGTTTCCTATGGAGAGCTTAAGTCTCCTCCCTTTCCGGTCGGCTCATGGGTCCCCGGAAGAACAAAATGACAAAATGAATGCAAGTCAACGGGGCTCAAAGAGCTATTTTCTAATCCTCTTTGCCTTATGTTGTACTTCTATTTAAATAAAAAGTAATGATGCATGCAGGGGATGATTAAGGTCTACAGGGGCCCATAGGCTACACTTGGGAACCAAAAATGCTTGATCGATGCGAAATATTCTTTTCCTATATTCTTATCTGCAGATTTTTATTTTAATTAGGGCTGTCAAACAACTAAAAATGTTAATCAAATAAATCTTGGGGCATTTGTGAATTAACCATGATTTACCAATATTTTCTGGCATTTTCATCCATTTCACCCCAGCAGCCAGGATCCGGTGTCGGTGCAGGATCGGCTCGGGGTCCTTCGACTGCCGATGACGTCACATTACTGCAACTCTACTCGGCTTCCACACACACGTTTTGGAAAGACATCAGCAGTTTTGTTAATAAATTCTTGTTTGTTAACACCTAAATGTTTTCTTTATAATTGTAATTTGTTAATAAAACACCATATTATCTTTGTTTTGTAAAGAATGTGAAACTGCATAAAGCCAACATCGGACTGACAGAAAATAGAACGGTTCTTATATGTGAAGCCACAACTGTTTGTATTAATGTGGAGTTCGTCTGTATATTTCCTTAGTTGTTATCTAAATACATTGTTTGAATCTAAATGTTGCTTGGTGTCTTTCAATTAAGTTCTTATATTTTATTTTGCCCCATTTCATCAACATCAAGAGCTTTTGAGGGTCACCGTTTATCATTTGCTTATATTTTACATTTCCTTTAGAAATTCAAACATATTTTCTCCAAAAAGTGTTGATTTTTGGACTACATGACTACAACCGCTAAGACTACGACCGTGTTCGAGTTGAGCTGCGCCTCGCCTGGAAAACAGACAAGAGCACACGGAAGCAGCAGGGGGAGTGGCTGAAAGCCGGCATTTAAGTCGGACAGATTTCCCTACATGTGTAGCTCGGGGGTGACGATGGCTGAGTCGGTTAGAGTTCATACTTGTTTAATTATTTATTTTAATTCTGGTGCCTGTTAGCAGCTGAAACACATCCTCACGTGCTTGTGGATATCATATATTGTATATGGAGACATGACTGTAATAATAAGTAAAGGTTATCAGCTGTAGCTCCAGTGTGCTCATAGGAAACGTGACAAAACAACACAAAACACATTTCTCTTTATGGCCTATATAGTTGTCATCATCAACATAACATGATTTACGGAATACATGTGACCAACTAACATTTCATGTTCTACCACCGGATGTTTGGATCAAAATATGAACCAATCAGATCTTAGATCAGGTGAGAGCCAGGCGTTTCCCGTCATCCTCTATGTTTTGCAGCCGAGGTAGAGCAACTGCAGCACCTTGCTCCAAAATCTGCGGCCGCCTTGATCTCACGAGGTTATCGTTGCCTACGTATGCATGACGTCAGAGCAAGTCGGCGTCAAGTCGGACACAAATCTAACCGGCATGCACTGCTCGCCTATCACCGGTGATCGAATCTTCGCAGAACTTGCCCATCTCGAACACAGCAGACACATTTTGATTCCAAGAATGAGCTTATTTTAGACATACGGCAAATTAAATTTAGGTTTTGCGTGAAAACGCAAAACAGACTACAACTGCTCGTCTCACCAAACTGACATCATCAAACCAGACAAGGAAAAGAAAAATGTCTGTGAGTTTAGTGAGCTTCACATCCTTCTTACAGTACAGAATGAGCAATAAACGTGGACAAAACCACCATAAATCTGGCCATGTGTGAATTAGCATCTACGCTGGGGGGAGGTGATTCTGCTGTGACGTCATGTCTGATTTGCAGTCTTTTTTATTACGAATTTTTACGAATTCATAAATCTCAAATTATGTGACAGACAGTTGAAACACACATAAATATGTATCCTTTTAAAGCTGTTATAGCAAAGCTGCAAAAAAGCTAGATTAAGAACGCAAACACAGAAACACATTACCAGAGGACACGAGATAGTGCTAAACACCAGTCACTGTTTTCTAGGTCTTGACGTCTTTTGTTGTCCTAATGGTGTTTTTCTTTTAGGGACTCTGGTAGTTTGTCCTAAAGTTGAAGTGGTAGCAGCCGGCTGTTTCTCCTTCTCTGATATTATTGAGAGTGTAATAAGTGGAGAACCCAGGGAAGTGCAGTGGTTGGGTGAGACCAACAACCGGATGGTCCAAACGTTGCTTTTGGTCTGAAATGTGTTATTGGTGGAAATTTTGGGACAAATGCAGGGGAACCACTTTATTATTTCATTTGGTTTCTTTACAATCTCCACAATTAATTTAGAGCTATGCTGTGTCAGAATGTTAAAGGCACGAAAAAAAGAAGAAGCTATTTTCCACATTTGCTATAACAGCTTTTATTGGAAGTACAACATAAGTGTGATTCGAGCCGTAAGGAAAATCAGATTAGAAAGTTGCTGTTTCTACTTCACTTACATTCATTTTCCCTTAGTTCCGATGACCCATGAGCAGACTGGAAGGGGAGGAGATTAGGTTCATAACAAACAGCTGCACACCGCCATTTTGGAAAAATTAGCACATGTGAATTAAACAGGATTGGATGAGTGTCAAGTTTTCATGTAATGGTTGCACTGACGTGTATCTGATGTCTTCAGGCGCTGGAAAGGATTCACCAGGCCAGTTCAGGTAACAGTTGAGGAAGACCATGCAGGCCATGCCAGTCCACACCCACATGATGAGCCGAAACGACACACCAACGTCATAAATCAGCTAATGATGCAGAGACAGACAGGAAGAGCAAAAGAATCACGAGAATGAAGAAATGGGAGGAGCTAAATGTTTAACAAAAGTGTTCATGAGGTGAATCTGACCCAAAGATGTCTGAGTAACACTCTAACTTCCATTTTCTCTCAGCTATATCCCTCCTTTAAATGGATGTCAGGCTGGCTCGTGTAATGCTAATAAACCAGAATGAGTGTGTCTGTCTAAGTGACTGTTCTGTGAGTTGTTGAGCAAGGGTTTGCATTCAGTGTGGTTATTCCATCGACATATAAAAATGTGAACATGGGCAGGTTGAAGCCAAAAGTGGGAGGTTCCCACCACTGATTTTTTGACCGTGTCACATGTCTCATCACACCCATCCCGCCCAGACAATCCAAAAATGGGAAAAGAGGTGGCGCTGAGGGTGTGGCTGTTACGTCTTGGAACACGGTTGGAACAAATGAACCAGTGCGGCTACTAGCTAACTTAGCTAACCCAACAAGCTAAGAAGGGCTCTGGGGACTGGGGTAGCCCACCCGCATGACCAACTGGCTCCAGTGCAAGGCTGTATGTAACCTTACGTAGATTTACTAGAGGTGGTTCACATGAAAATCTTTGTGGTTTAACACCGAGTGGACCAGATCAAAAGATTCTAGACTCTGAGGAGCAAGTGGTGGAGTGACAACATGGAAAAGCAAGGTAAATATAACAATGGTTTATTACCAGCATTTATAACCCACTTAATATATAACAAAGCGCTTTGTGAAATAAAATAAAATGAAATAAAATAAAATAGTAAAATGAAATGTCACCAGTCTGTGTTTGTTCAGTCAGTCAGTCAGCTTGACAAATGTTCATGAAATCCTTGTCAGTCAGATCTTGGGTTGAAGTCGAGTTCAGGTGAGTGAAAGACCAGTTAATCACCGGCTTGATGGTTCGGTTGGGCTGGGGCTCGCCATCCAGAACTGGAACAAGAATCTTCAATTCACCGAGGTGAATCAATCCAAAATAAAAAACCTGACCAAGAAAAGTCAGCTTGGTTTACACGGGGTTTCCCAAGGGTAACGGCAAATCACGGTCTTCGGACCTCGAACTTGGAGTAATTGTTTTTCAAGTAACGGCTGCTAGTGCATCCTAGTTTGCTCTTCACGGCAAGTGCTTCCTCGTCAGCGTCTCAGCGCATCTGAAGGCAAGTGAAAGCTGCGTAGCGAGCAGCAGAAAGTGCTAAATTCTATTGGCTGATGCAATAGCTGGCTAGCCACGTGATTGGTTAGTCAGTTGCTACCTGAATTTTACTGGAACTTTCTATTTACTCGATTTTAGCTTTTCTTATTTGACTATTTTCAACAAGTTTGTATTTTCTTTTCTTTCTTTTTTTTAAACTATGAATGTATGAATGCTTAGATTTCTATTTATCTTATTTGGTCTTTTATCCTGTTTTAACTGTTTTGTAAATTTCCATTTATATTTCATTATTCATTCTAATTATGTAATGATGTTTCTATTGTAATCTGGGTTTTACACCGGGTTACACTGTCCCCTCTAGAATTATGCAAGTCCCTTTGCATAGAATCGCTAGACCTCAATTATCGGTGTGCTAGTGTTTGAAGGTGTAATGCTTGAATTTGCTTCAGTTAATGCACTTGTGAAAGCTAAGTTCAATCCTTGAAACAAGGACTGTGCGATAGATACAAGAGGGCTTCCCAATCTACTGTATTGTAGCCTATTAGGTTGAGTTGTTGCTCTTTCTGAGCGTCTCAAAGTCTTTGGGGTTTCGCTTGCAGTATCTAACTGATTTCCTATTTCACCATCTAGTCCTCCTCCTCCTTCAGGTTCACTGCAGGTAGGTCCTTCAGGTAAGTTATTTTTTTCCATCTTAAGTTCATCATTTACAGATTCCACATCTGTTTTGCTTCCTTTTAGGCTTCCTTCATCCGGTATGGCTCCACATTCAGGTAAGTTTTCAGGTTGAGTTTTCATTTGACAATCAGGTAAATCGCCAGGTTCAGTACTCATTTCCCTTGTTGGTAAATTACCAGGGTGAGTACGCATTTCGCATTCAGGTAGGTTTTGTTCGGTTATTTGAGATTCTACCAAATTCTGCCGTTCCAGGCACTTACTTGGCCAAGGAATCTCTAGAACCTCAGTAAAAGTTATGGGCTCTTGGTCAGGTTCCTTTCTGAACCAGTAGACATCCTCACCCTCTGATTCTAAGTTCTCACTGTCAGCAGGTAAACTACGGGACTGCCTGGTTCTTGGTTTGCCAATGCAACTGGGTCGAACAAGGTCTTCCTTGACAGGGGCAAGAAACCCACAAGGGAGTAAGAGATCGCGGTGGACAGTACGAACTGGGCCTTCTTTAGCTTCAGGCTTTATAGTGTAAACAGGCAAGTCACCTGCTTGGTGCAGCACCACATAAATGTCAGCCTCCCACCTGTCGGCTAGTTTGTGCTTACCTCTGAGACGAACTGCTCGAACCAGGACTCTGTCACCTGGTCCTAACCTAGAGGGTTTTATTCGGGTGTCGTATCGTATTTTGTTCTTTTCTGCCATCTTTTGAGCATTTTTGGTTGCTAACTTGTAGCTTTCTTGTAACGTTGCTTTGAGTTTTTCTATATAGTCAGAGTGTGACTGGAAATTTTTACAGTGAAGGGGAAGTCCGAATGCTAAATCAACTGGTAGTCTGGGCTGTCGGCCAAACATTAGCTCGTATGGAGCAAAACCAGTGGTGTCATTTCTGGTACAGTTGTACGCGTGTACAAGTGGTTTAACATAGTTGTGCCACTGAGTCTTGTCTTTCTCTTCCAGGGTACCTAGCATACTCAATAACGTTCGATTGAAACGTTCAACTGGGTTCCCTCTGGGGTGATAAGGAGTCGTCCGTATTTTTCTAGTACCAATAAGTTTACAAAGCTCTTGTATGAGGCAGGACTCAAAATCGGGGCCCTGATCACTATGTAGTCGTTCGGGTATCCCGTAGTGGACTATGAAATTGTCCCAAAGTGCTTTTGCAACAGTTGGGGCTTTTTGATTGCAGGTAGGGACGGCTACAGCATACTTGGTGAAGTGATCGGTTAATACCAGCACATCCTTTTTTCCACATCGATCAGGCTCAATGGACAGAAAGTCCATACAGACTAACTCGAGCGGACGAGTAGACTTGATATTGACAAGTGGAGCTGCTTTCTCTGGAGAAGTTTTCCGTCTGACACAGCGATTGCATGTTTTAACCCTGTTTTCAATCTCAGCTGCCATGCGAGGCCAATAGAATCTTGTCCTGGCAAGATCTAAAGTGCGTTCAATGCCTAGATGTCCCATATCACCATGTAAACTTTTAAAAACAGAATCGCGGAGCTGTTCAGGTAAGACTAACTGGTACGTAACACTTCCTCCATCTTGGCGTGTACGGTATAGTATGTTATTATGCATTTCGAGTCGACTGAGCTCTCTGAGCAGAAGGTTGATATCTGGAAGTTCAGCTCGCACCGTCGGTGGTACTTTCTCTCCAGTCTCGATTTGTGCTATAACCTCTCTAAGCAAAGGATCAGTGCGTTGTTCATGCATGATCTTTTCTGGAGACAGGTGTGGTACCACAGGTAACCCTCCACAGTCTGTCTCATTGACAAAGTCATCTGGAATGGCAGCTGCTGACATAGCCATTGAGTGAACCAAGGGAATGGTAACACTGTGAGAGATACAGGAGAGATGTTTCTCACAAATGGCTGACACTACTTCAGGACTTATACTACTTTCAGACTCGGACAGATGGGTTTGTGTAAACTGCTGTATGCGATCGAGTTCTTTCTGAGACACGGCATCATTGAGTAGATCACCATGTGGTCGCCTGGAGAGACCATCGGCATCAGAGTTTAGCTTACCTGCTCTATACTGGAGTTTAAAGTCAAAAGTAGACAGAGCAGCTAGCCACCTGTAACTCATGGCATCCATCTTGGCAGTGGTCAAGATGTAAGTCAGTGGGTTACTGTCGGTCATGACCGTAAACTTGTTTCCATATAAGTAATCAGCAAATTTCTCCGTAACTGACCACTTTAGAGCTAAAAACTCTAGTTTATGGGCGGGGTAACGGGACTCACTTTTGGATAAGCCTCTGCTCGCATATGCAATGACCCTTGGCTGTCCATCCTGCTCTTGATACAACGCTGCGCCAAGTCCAGTTGTGCTGGCGTCCGTATGAAGGGTATAAGGCAGTTTGGGGTCAGCAAAAGCCAGGACTGGAGCACTACTGAGCTTTTCGATGATGGCGCTAAATGCAAGATCGCAAGAAGGAGTCCACCTATCATTGAAAGGTGTCTTCGGGTCGTGATACTGATGTTGCTTGTCTTTATGTTTTGGGCTTTTGTGCAAAGGAGGGTATCCGGAAGTTAAGTCAGTTAATGGCTTAACTATGCTTGAATAGTTTTTTATGAAGCGCCTATAGTACCCAGAAAAACCAAGAAATGAACGTAGTTGCTTGAGGTCACAAGGAACAGGCCAAGTACGTAGGGCTTCTACCTTCTCAGGATCGGTCTCCACTCCTCTGCTAGACACAATGTGACCAAGATATTTCACCGAAGACTGGAAAAACTTGCATTTATCAATGGACAATTTAAGTCCATATTCTTTTAAGCGGTTGAGGACTTTCAGTAATCGAGCTTCATGTTCTTCAAGTGTTTTAGAAAACACGATGATGTCATCAAGAAACACAATCACTTCATGGAGATTCATGTCACCCATGCATTTCTCCATGAGTCGTTGAAAGGTGCTAGGAGCATTAGTAATTCCCTGAGGCATCCTATTGAATTCCCAGAAACCCATGGGGCATACAAACGCTGTCTTGGGTTTGTCTTGCTCGGCTACTTCAATTTGGTAATACCCGGATTTTAGGTCGAGCACTGAAAACCACTTGGAACCATTCAGAGCAGAGAAAGTTTCTACCAGATTTGGAAGGGCGTAAGCATCTTTCACTGTCTGATTGTTAAGTTTTCGGTAGTCTATACAAAGCCGAACGT